AAACTTTGTAACAAACCGTTCGTAAAACGTCTGCATCTAGATACATATCGTAACGACAAATGTGATGAAATAACGCTCCCCTACTTAATAGCAAACAAACAAAAAACGTTTTTAAAATTCGTTTATTTTATAAGTAACACTTTTACCGGTGTTTTGTTACTACTGGCTACTTTTCAGTAGTAAAATGCAAAAAAAAAAATCTGAAAAATATAGCATTTAAAATCAAATTTAAATTATTAAAACAATTAATTTACTATGATTACACAAAGTACAAAAATGCATTTTTATAACTTTCACCAATGAAGAGTAACTAGTAAAGCCACGAAACCGCTAAATGTGTTGTTACTTCACGTAAAATAAACGTAGTAAAACCACGAAACCGCTAAAGGTGTTACTTTACGTAAAATAAATGTAGTAAAGCCACGAAACCGCTAAAGGTGTTACTTTACGTAAAATAAATGTAGTAAAGCCACGAAACCGCTAAAGATGTTACTTTACGTAAAATAAATGTAGTAAAGCCACGAAACCGCTGAAGGTGTTACTTCATGTGAGATAAACAAATTTGTTGGGTGAAGAAAAGATGAATCAGTATATATAAACAGACGTGAAATGATTTATTTATTACAAACGAAACTTCTTTCGGGACTTTCAAAACTTGGAAAGAGAATTATTTTGATCGATTTTAATTGAAAAAAAAAATATTTTAAACTTCTTGAGATAATTTAATGTGTTATGATATTCCTTAGTAAATATCTAGCTAACTTGATTTCTTCTTCGTTTCGTTGCTTTATTTTATACCAAGTATTTTTATTAACAAACTTGTCATCCATACTGTATCTAGTTAACTGGTCAGACTTTTATGTCTATGTAAGATAGCTAACCAACCATATGTTAATCTAATGGATTGTAGTGTCTTTTGTTGTTGTTTTTTGTGAATAAAGTACATTTATAGTTCTCATTCTTACTTAAGTCGGAGATTCCTATCCATACTAAGACATAAACGAACCTTCTGCCAGCCAATCAGTAGTAATCGAGTCCTAGTCGTGCACACAAAAGAAAAATAAAATTCAGTCGAATAATTCTGGAAACGTTCAGTTGAACTTTTATCACAATTTCCGGTTTACTGAGAACAGGAAAACTTACCACTCGGATGTAGTGTGTACGACAAGTCGAGTAGCATCGTCAGTCACGTGATCAATGCTGTTACAAACGGCTCGTGTCTGCAACTCTTCGCTAGTGCTATTATATATATGGAAAGATGTGCTGGGATCACTAAACACGTATGTCCACAACGTATCAAGTGTCCTCCATCGGTCTGCCGCAGATATCCAACTCGGGAAGTGACATTTTCCATGAGGATGACGAACTGAGAAATGTATAAACAATGGTTAAGATGAAAGAAAATATGTTGTTGTTTTTTTTCACACATTTGTCGAATTTTCTGTACTAAATATCGATTTTATACAAATAAAGTCTTAGTAAGAACGTACATCTATATCCATGTCTTAAAAAAAAGGGGGAGGTCATGATTCGCTAGCTGGAATTTTAAACACAATATAATCTAATATTTGCTTAGCTTTTATCGTGATACACATGAAACAAAGTTTAACTGAAGTTGAACTCCCAGTTTGATTATTGGTAAACTAAGAGTAATTCGACGAACTTATTTAGCTAGCGTCATGATCGGTTTGTTAATCACTCGTTATAACGTTAAGTTTACCTCTAGTAAGTTTCATCGTACGTGATCCCTCGATGGCCGAAAACAAACCGTCGCAGGTTGCATCTCCAGATTGAGCTATCCTGAAACCGGAATTGTCTTGTATTCTGTCATAGACCTAGATAAGTTACATAGAGTAACTATATATATAAGGTGTATGTGTAATAAAACACCATCGTATTAAACACCCATATTTACTTATAATTGAATGTCTAATTAAATAAAAAAACTACATTATTTTTAATATTAATATATCTTCTGTACACCAATAGGCACTACAGAAATTAAATGATATGCATTGAGATATCATTATTATCAAAGTATACGTTACCATTTTTAGTCTGTAATCTGCACCCTAGTTTCATTTATTTATTTTTATTTTGTGAAAATGGATCAAAGCGCTTTTTGTCTCTTAATCAAAGTTTCTTAAGAATTAAATAAATCTACAGGCAAGCAATGATAGCGAATCAAATATTGATACGTACAATACTATATATAGCTATTTTGGTTCTTGGAATGTGTTCAATTAATGACAGCAACGAAGTTGGGCAGTCTCTTCATTGCTATATTGAAGCTTTATCTATCTACGTTTACATCGGCAAATATTTTGATTTTAAAACATAAATAAAAATTAGCAACCTTGTACAGTGATGGTTTACGTTTTTACAAATTTATTATACTTCAGGCATAATTCTTATTAGATTCGCCAGAACATTCTCACAGATCAATAGATTCCTTTATTAGAATAGCTCAAGTTTTTCTTTTAAATCCTGTTCTGATTATTTAAACAAAACATGTTTGTTACCTTTTAAGTTTGTAAAATTTTAAGAAATGTTTGGGAGGAAATAAAGTTTGTTTACAATTAATCACAAAGCTACACATTGGATTATCTCTGCTCTGCCCACCATGGGTATCGAAACCCGGTTTTTAGCGTTATAAGTCCGCAGACATACCGCTGTGCCACTTAGTGGGGGGGGGCATGAAACAGAGAAAATCTATCTTGCTTAGAATTCTTTTTTATTAAATAAAAACATTTTTATATTTTGGGAAGAAGGGGAGAAGGCATAACGTTGTTTTCAGGAACTATAGACTATGTGAATGGTATTCAAACCTATGTTCATGGTGTTGTGTAAAAAGTTACTCATCAATATAAATCTAGTTGATTAGGTTCTCTATTGCATTCTTATTGTCACTAACTGAAACACTAAGCAGTGGCACAGCTGCATGTCTGCGGACTTACAACGCTAGAACCCGGGTTTCGATACTCGTAATGGGCAGAGCACAGATAGCCCATTGTGTAGCTTTGTGCTGAACTACAAACATACTTACCAGGTGAGGTTTTTGAGCAACGACATGTTGAAAATTTACTTTCACTATCTCACTAAATCATTCTTCCCATCATAAAAAAGACGCATGTCTAATGTTTATTAAAATGATTGATATACTCACTCAATTCTTGTATTTTAATGGGAATGTCTAGTTGTTCGTTAACTTTTGTTTGTTATTAAGCACACAGCTACACAATGAGATGTCGGTGCTGTGCCCACGAGGAATATTGAAACCCGGATTTAGCCATTAGGCTTAGCGCCGAGTCATTGGGAAACTATTCTTTAAACTGAACATTATAATGAAGTTGCAGTCTTGAATAAACGATCTCTAGTAAATATAAAAAAAAGACCACGTGTCATTACTTCCTTTGATATCCTAATCAAGTGTAACTTGATTTGTAACTTAAATTATGTATATTGTCGAAATTAGCGATGCATAAACTCCTTTAGGCTTAGCTTGATCAGACATGATAATACCACTGCAGTGTTACGAGTACTTCAACTTATTAAAAGTCTTACTCAAGGCGCAAAGTGCTGCAAGTTAATGGCAGAAATAGCGTTCTCTAATAAAGAAAACTGTAATAGAGGGACTGGGTTTCCTAAATGAATTTTTATACTGGATATCAAATCAGATTTCGACACTTGAATGCTGTTGAATGTTTCGTGCACTCCACCCCCCCCGGCAATCACTAAAACTGGTGGTAGTTTCTCTATTTGCATCATTATTTAGAACGTGTTTTATTTATTTAATATATATATATATACGTTTCTATATAACTGTAACTTTTAATACAAACACGTTTACAAACCAAATAAGCAAAGAATTCCTTAAATTCTGTCCTTTAGCAAGATAATGCACATGTAAACCATGGAAGACGTTCAAGGCAGAATGCCAAGAAAAAAAAACACTTCCCTGACTTACAAATTATTTAGTTTCTGTATATGTATGAACCAAAAACACTTCCCTGACTTACAAATTATTTAGTTTTCTGTATATGTATGAACCAAAAACACTTCCCTGACTTACAAATTATTTAGTTTACTGTATATGTATGAACCAAAAACACTTCCCTGACTTACAAATTATTTAGTTTACTGTATATGTATGAACCAAAAACACTTCCCTGACTTACAAATTATTTAGTTTTCTGTATATGTATGAACCAATAAATTTTGCGCTATTTGCAAAATTTCGAATTACAATCCTCATGAAAACAAAAAGCGTTTGAAATCTATTGTTGTTGTTTATTATTAAGCACAAAGCTAAACAAAGGGCTATTTATGATTTGCCCACAACGGTATCCAAACCCGGTTTCTAGCCGCATAAGTCCGTAGATATATCGTGTGCCACTAGGGGGCTTTTGAAATCTAATAGATACTTATTCAAATGTCATGCTAAGGGCATGGAGTAAGTTTTAAAACCCAAACATTTTTCAGCTATGGTTGACCAAGTGATTAACTTACCGGACATTGGATCTGTGGGTCTTTCGTTCGCATCCTGTTACCACAAAAGAAAAGAAAAAATGCGCTCTGCACTCTGGGGCCGTAGTTATATTATAAAGGCAACGATTAAATCCCACTATTCGGTAAGACAAGAATATCCCAAGAACTGGCCTAGGCACTGTCTATTACCTGCCTTCCCTCTGTTCTATCAGTTCAGAATTACGGACGCCTAGCGTAGATACCCTTTACGTAGCTTTGCGCAAATGTTCAAAATAAATGATAACTGTGGTAGTTTGTTTTCATAAATCTTATGCTTGATGACGATACAGATGGTACATATTAAGTTCTTGGACTTTTGTTCACGACATTGAAAATTTACAGTGAGATTTTCTGAAAACTAAGTTTTAAACCAAACTTTTTTTTTGATAAATAAAGAATACCGTTTAGTTCTTGTACTTCACTCAGTTAAAGTTACACATGAAGAAATGAACTTCAAAATAGTTTAAATCTCCACTAATATTTACTTTCTATTGTAATAAAACACAGAAGGTATACCAGTCTATCAAAGTTCTTTGTGTTTGTTTGTGTTTAGTTGTGCACAAAGCTACTCAATAGACTATAGGTGCTTTGCCCACCACGGGTATCGAAATCCGGTTTCTAGCGTTGTAAGTCTGCAGATATACCGCTGTGCCACTGGGGGTGGGCAGTTCTTTGTGAGCTTTCTTTCAGAACATTTAAAATGCTAGTAAACTCGTAATTCATTGAATAAAAATAAAGTATTAACTAAATCACCCTTTAGGAATATTGCTGCGAGGTTCAACCCCCCCCCCCCCGTAAATCACAGAGACCCTAGTGTACTGATTAAGCTCCTCCATTATCCCAAATTACTTCTGTAATTACCTCAAGAGGGGTCCGTACTCGCAAATAAACCCCGTTAAGATACTCGCCCGTAGCACCTGAGCACGTGTGCTACGTTTGGTCCTGCTAGATTGTTAGTGGGGTATGAACACAGTTTTAAACATGGCACTAGGAGTCTCGAGGAGGGATAAGAACACAAAATCCGATATCAGATTCTAGCCTAGCAACCCTGAAAACTTACTCCAATCATGCCCAACTTTCGGAGAGTTTTATGGTGGTTCCCTTGGCGAACAGGCTACCATTTAGATAAGAACACTACGAGTCCACTCAGAGCTAGTCTGACAAGTATAGTCCTGCTACCCGCAAAACAGAACAAATTCACAAACACATAACGAGATTTAATAGAATTCCAGGTAACAGTAATCCATTATATTGAAGTTTATGAATATTCTTAAATATATAATTACCAAGCAAGTGTGAAATATTCGCATTCCTATGTCGTATCAAGTTAACACGAACAAAAAAAAAAAAAAAGACCAGTTCATAGACTATGAAATCAATCAAATATTTTATATTAGAAGAAACAAGGGTTGTGTAGAGGTTCGCTCTTTTTTTTTCTATATTTATTAACCGATAACTTAATTTGTTTCAGGTTTTAAAATATTCTCCCACCTAGTATAAGTTCCTACGTCATTTCTCTTCCCTTCTAAACGAAGCTACTACTGCTTCACTGTGACGACTTTAAAATTTATGGAATTAAATTATTTATGCAAAATGCACAGCACATTATTCCAAGTAAATAGTACAAAGGTGCCGCGCTATGTGACTGTCTGGGAGTGAATGGAATTTAATATAAAAGAACCTTTTACATTAAGAGTTTATTGGGATAACTTAAGTTCCCATTAAACACTTTATGCTATAAAAGACAAAAAGTGGGCAAATTAAGGCCGTATTTTTGCATTTGATTAGGAACTATATTAAGTTGCATATTGTCCTTGAAACACTAAATACGGGATCCAGACATTTAGTTACCAGGACAACTTGTGACGGGTACATTCTTCTTACATCATTTTTGTGACAGGTAGTTTTTTAAATATAAAACTGATTGGTGACAATATAGAAATAACATAATAAATCGCAAATTGCACGATCATTTGGGGACCATTCGCAAATTACCTAACGTTATGCGGATGAGAGGTTGTCTAAGGGAGATAGGGGTGTCATCAACAGTAAAACGTAAATTACAGTGAAAGCGATTTCGGTCAAAAACATTTAACACACTTTAATTTTAATTCACAATATTTTAAATAACTTGAACATTTGGATACACGTGTTTCGTAGTGGCGAGTCTAGTAATAAAATTCACCAATCACAAAAAATACTTGCAACGTTATGGTGTGACAGTAACTTGGATGCGATAACTAAAAGTTTTTCGTAACAAAAAGTCTACGTCACAAACTGCCGTAACGAAACGTCCCGGACTACTAAATACTTTTATGTGTAAGACTATTTAACAGTGTTAATCTAGAAATTTTCTCATCACATCTAATACTGTATAAAATAGTCTTTTCTTTGTAACGATGATTTTACAGAAAACTGAAACTATTTTCTCGGACGTCCAACTTCGACTGCTCATTAATTATGACGTGTGAACTTTGACCCAAAGTCAAAGATATCTGTTTCAAAAATCAGACGATGCAGTACTTAACGTTCCGAATTATTTGACAAACATTTCAACTAATTAAAATGACAGGAGTTACTTTCTACCATATGGCTTACTACTAAATATTAATGTCAAGCTTCAACGTACAAAACAACGAAACTTGTCGTCATCTGTTTTGTTCCCTTGTGCTCCATTTTGCCCACCAGGTAGCGCGTGGACCCCTCTTTCCATGAAGCTAGGCATGTCAGTCTCTCTTCTGTATAGTAGAACAAAACATACATAAATTGGATAAATAAACGATGCAATGAAATTTGTTTTTTGTTACTAATAATCTTAGATTCATCAATAGCTTAATTATACATCACAAGTGTCTGAATAACAATTTATATGTATAAACCAACTACACTAATACGTATTCATAGGTCAACATTGTGGTGTTCAATGAATAACCAATTAAAACCAAGGAACAAGCGCGGCAAAGTAGAACGAATTAAAATCAATGGGCTTTTATGGATACTTATAGAGGACAAATGCAATCAATGTCACAAATGGATCAATGTCATAACAACCTATGCCTCATTACTTGCAGAAATTCACGCAGTTCTAGGCTACTTTTTAACTGCAGATAACCTGAAGTACTCGTTGGAGTACACCAACTTCTGAAATATTGTTATAAAAACGGTTAGAAGACTGAGTTTTGGCCTTAATTCCAGGATTATTCGAGGATATGACATTAATATGGAATAGGCAAACTCTTATGACTTCACTAAAAATAACCGTGTTACATTACTTTTTTTTTCAAGCCTCATGACCAATAATGATACAGATGTAATTATTAAGTACTTGAAATTTTCGTTCATGACATTGAAAGTTCACAATGAAGGTTTCTGAAAACGAAGAATTGAGTTTTATCAAACTAAGTTTTTTTTTCTGTCTTGGATGTCTCGAAATGATAGACAGATAAAGTTCAGGTTTTGTATTGGTGAGAATAATATTTAATTATTATTCAAATACAGCCTGTAAGCCATTATCTCGTAGAGACACGCCGGTGATAATTTGAAAATAAATTGATTAATAGTTTCTAGATGTGGGATAATGTCGATGTTCTAATAAACAAATAGAAATGTTTCAAAACAGAAGAAACGTTTATTTCACATTGCGCATGCGCATTCCTTCTTCCAAATATGGAAGAAATTCAAATCAGAACATAATATCAAGAGAACAATTACCACATCTGTTTCTTGATATTCGGATAAATTTTGTATCATGGATATCACGTATAAAATAATTTCCTGCAATTTTTATCTGTTCTCACAAGTTATGTTTCTAAGTGGGCGCCCTCCAATGGCACTCTGCGGACTTACAACGGTAGAATCAGGGTTTCGATACCCGTGGTGGGCAGAGTACAGATAGCCCATTGTGCTTAATTACAAACAAACAAACAAATTTAAGTTGTTGTATGTTTTGTTACAGCAAAACCACATCGGGCTATCTGCTGCGTCAACCGAATGGAATTGAACCCATGATTTTAGCGTTGTAAATCGGAAGACTTACCGCTGTCCCTCCGTTGGACTATATTTCTAATAAAAAGTATTACTGTCAAATACGTTGTTTTTGTATCAAATCCGCCTGTTTTCTATGGAAACTTTAAGAACGGTTTGTCGAATCTTAAAATTACCAGCAGTTTGTTCATTTATATATATTTTGGAGCGATTTTTATTTATTTTTTTGAAAATGTACGCTTGAGTTAAAGTAATTAGAATAATAATATTTTATAAACTAGACAATGTGGAGGATTATAGAAGTTATTATTGGTTGATTTTAGCGCTTCCACATAATGATTTTGTACAGCTTCAACACACACGAATTTTGTAATACATTTTATACTGCTGATCTTTCGTGTTAAGTTTGTAGTATAGAAGGGATAAATTTGATAGAAATTAATACTAAATATGAAAACGGTTTTGTTTAATGTATTGTCTTTTATTTGTGAGTGTTTTTTTTTTTTGGCATCCTAACATCATTAAATATATTTAATATTGCATTTTTTGCGCAGCATATCAAATGTGTTTCATAAGATAGTCAGATGATACAACTGAAGCTAACCGCATTAAAAACGATGTTCTAAGTGTTGTATTGCCCTTGAAACCGGCTGGGGGTAAAAGATGGTATCCGATATCCTATATAATTATGTATTAAACGATTCACATTGCTAAACCTTAAACAATTTTCAGTAGATTAGATAATTTGCTTGAAAACTTGTATTTTATCTTTTAAATATATATTTTAACATGAACTGTTGTATATAAGCGTTTTCCGTATTACTTCGTTCCGGTGTTTGACGGAAAATCTCGGGCAAAGTTAATTATTAGTATTTTGTTTTCAGTTTTGTTGTAATGACTTTTTGCATATATATATATTTTTTTTAGGCAGAATGCTTGATGTTAGTATTTAAGCTTCTTTAGATATTAACTATTTTGGTTATTAAGTGAAGTGCGAAATTTGAAATAAAATAACCCAATGGATCAAACAAATTCGTCGATGTTGCGAACCGTGATGTCTGTCTCTCCGAGCGTTCGTCTGTGGACCGTTTGAAAGCTTAACATTCACTTTTGAAATGACGGGAGAACAGACATGAATAATGTTGATGCCAAATTATATTTCACATACAGGATATTCTACACTAAATTGTTAGGAATTAATCACATTATCATTCACATGTGACGTAACTTAAAGAATAAAAATGTAGATTTACTGTATCTTTTTGTTGGGCGGCTCTTAGTATGGTCCCCCAGTGGCACAGAGATATATATGTCTGCGGACACTTACAACGCTGGAAACCGCGTTTCTTTACCCGTGGTGGGCAGGGCACAAATAGCCCATTGTGTAGCTTTGTGCTTAACTTCAAACAAACAAACAAACTCTTAGAATGACTGAAATGATCAAGAATTACTTTTCGCGGTGGGCGGTATAAGTAGCTCAGGGCTTTGGCTCTAAGCGAAACCATCAGTTTAACACAATTAACCTTTTCAAAGTCCAGGAAAAAAATTAAATTGATACATTTTCTATTTGCTATTATTAAATAACTATTTCATATCTTTTGGCTATAAAATGTTAATAGTATCAAATCATTCTAATCACTGGGGACGGGTACTTCTACTAGCTTAACTTAAACTTTTCCCGTCACTTTTGCTTGTTATTAATAAATGATAGGAGGTTCTTATAACTCACAAAATTTACATTTAGAAAATTTTTCTGCATTGATTGGATTAAAAAAGAGCCTCAAACCTAAATTAAATGTTTTTGTATCAAGAAAATTTTTAAATCTATAAAAAGAATTAGCACTGTATTTCACGTGACTTTTAAACTCAGAATATATAACTCAGTTTATATAACTCAGAATACAATTTGTATTTCAAACTCTAGAGTATTTTTCATCCAAATAATCTGATGAATACGGATTTAAGTAAATATGGCCAATCTAGGTTTTCGTGATTTTCTATTCTGAGCCAGTGATTAAACTTCTGACAAAAAATTTCATAATAAATAACTTTGAAGTTATAACAGTTATCTAAATACGAGTATAATGAAAGCACTCTATCAGAAAAGAAATATATTAAGGAAAGAATAACTGATTATAAAATGAAGTAAATACATGATTAAAAACCAGTGCGTGACATGAAATATGTTAGCCTAATCAATAAGTTGGTTAAGTTCAATGTTCTTAGACTCGAGTCTTCTTAACGCAATATTGATACACTTAGCCAATATTTAAACACATCTCGGCAAATTCCGTCAATCTCTACGAAAAATACTGAACGTGTCATGATACCGGATACTGCCTTTTAGCCCCTTCTCTTGAAACTATTTCTTCTGTCGTCATCAATCGTCCTCACACTGATGCTTTTGACGAATCACTATTGTCCGAGAATTGAATCAATATTGCCCGGCAGTTTCCATTATAACAAGCTACTGCAGTAAATAATAAGGCCAGTCTTTCTTTATGAATCAATATTGCCAGGCAGTTTCCATTATAACAAGCTACTGCAGTGAATAATAAGGCCAGTCTTTCTTGATGAATCACTATTGCCCGACAGTTTCCATTATAACAAGCTTCTGCAGTAAATAATAAGGCCAGTCTTAGACCATACCTTTTGACAAACTTTTCATTGTACGAGGACATCGGTTTCCAAGAAACGAAGGGTCATTGGAGTTGTATTGATGGACTCAATAGATATGTGGTTAAATGAAATTGCTAAGATTTCAGCTTTTCAGGCATTTTTTTTCTTATAAAAACAGCAGTTAATTTAGAGGTGTGACTTAAGCTTATGAAACATTGACAACTTGAAATCCCTGTTTATTATGCTGTTAAATATACCAAAAAAAGTTCCCAGATTCATCACGATTGTTTTCGGAGTTGAAGGGTTCTCTTTCGTAACAGTAGCTTTCAGATGATTGTTGAAGGCGTTGCACCGGATTGTTAAGGTTTGTGGAAGATTTGGAAATTGTCGTTGTAAGTTATCTCGTTTCCATGGAGAAATTTGAAGGGACTGGACGAAGAATGTAGTTTTTGAAAATATAATAGGCCTAATACTAATGTCTTATAACTAGTATAATTAATTAGAACCGTAAATGTCCCATTCTTCCAAATGTTGTGTTCCTCAGCCCTACATTGTTTGATAATCGTACTTCATACTTATTTTCGTAAAGGCTTTTTTTCTATTCTTCCGGTCGTAGTATTGCCGTGACGATATTATACTTTCGAAAGGTTGGGGTTTTGTTACAATTTTTTCGTTTGTTTTTACTGAATTTTACGACACTCCAGTGTATTAGCATAAAGAACTCGTTGAAAGTAAAGCATAAACAAGCCTCTGTATTCTTGTGATTGGTATATATTACTGTTGGTAGATTATTAAGTCCTTATTACAATTATACGTATGCAGCAAATGTGGAATGGAATATTAATAAAGTTATTTTATTATAAAACTCCTCTAATGAAAGATTAAGATGTCGTTCCTGAAATATTTATAAACTTATTAGAATTCCTTTTCCTAGTTCAATGAGTAAAATAATAAAACATTGTCCATCTCGCGGATTCCCGTTAGCACCTGTATCTATGTGCCTTATGGATGTGCTTTACGAAAACGCTTGTGTACAAACGTTTTACTTGTTTGTGTGTTTGCTTTGTGAGATTTCGCGCAAAGCAACACAAGGGTTACCTGCACTGTCCGTCTCTAGCTCTGAAGTGATACATTA